GCAGCTCGGGGACCCGGGCGGCCCCTCCCAGCCGCTGGGGAGCAGCAGCCCGGGGTCTCCCAGGCTGGCCTCGAGAGCACGTGACCACGTGGTGGGCCAGGGCAGGGAGTTGGTCAAACGGGTGAGCACCAGGCCAGCCTCAGACCTGGCCGGAGCGGGGCCCAAGCGGTGCTGGCGTCACAGCCACTTGCCAGGCTCTGAGAGCCAAGGTGGTGATTTCAGAGGTATAATGGGTTTGGACTGTGGGCCAGTTAGGAACGGGAGATGGAGAAGATGGGGCCTCATCGCCTGGAGAGCATCTTTTCTCAGAGAGCAGATCTATTTATAGTTTGGAAATAAAGGGTTTACGGTCCGCCGGCCACCTTGTGTTGCCTGGAGGTATGGGGGCAGGCAGGGAGGCGTGGGCCTGACCTCTCCCCTCCTTTCCCTGCCTGGGGCCTTCCTGGGGAGACTGGTCATACTCCAGGCCTCCCATGTCTCTTGTGCTGCTGTTTGAGCCCCAGTGCCCTCTCTTAGGGCCCCACCACACCTGCAGGCAGGAAAAAATAGGTACCGAGTTTCATATCCTGGGGACTTTAACGCTTTCACAGCCTGATTTGAATATTGACTCTGTGACTTACTAGCTGTGTGACCTTAAGCAAATTATTAACCTCTCTGTACCACGGTTTTTTCATCTGTGAAGTGGGGATAATAATTATCTCAGAGTTGTTCTGAGGGTCAAGTCGATATTGGTAACAGATTAAATGTCATTTAAGTATGTATTTTGAAATTTCTTTAACAGCCACAGGACCGAGACCCTAAACGAGCGGCCGTGCTAGGATTCACGGCCAGGACTGTATGCCTACGTGCTTGTCCATGGACCATACACAGAAGGGTTATGGGCCTCTGGGACCTGGGCCTTCTGCTCACCTACCTTGGGCAAGTCGCACCACCCCTCTAGACTGCAGTCCTCTTTATAAAATGGAGAGGGAGGAGGTGAGATGCCGGCTCTGATGTGCGATGGTTCTGAGGCCTGGTCTGCTCCTGTGAGCTGTTCCCCTGCCTTGTGAGAGCTGCTGGCCAGTGGTCCTTCCGGGCACAAGTGCTTTTAGGCACTCACAGCAGGTGGCGCCATTGCACCATGCTTCGGCTCCTGAAACTGCCCGACCTGCCGCCACTATCCAAACTCAGGCAGGGGTCGTGGGAGGAGGACCCACCCTGGTGTCTTCCGGTAGAGAGACTAGGACGGGACTTGTTGTGAATTGTTCTAATCAGATCAGAGCCACACCAGCCCAGTCCATCAAGCCTAGGAGAGCGTTCATACTTTAGAAGTGGGTCAGCAAACTTTCTCTGTAAAGGGCCAGATAGTAAATATTTTCCATCTGGGGGCCATATGGTCCCTGTCGCAGCTGCTCAGGTCTGCTGTTGTAGCAGGAAAGCAGCCACAGACAGAGATACAGAAGCGAAAGGGCATGGCTGCGTTCCAGTGGAAGCTGCTTATAAAACCAGGGATCAGCTTGTCGGCTGGAGTTTGCCAGCCCCTGCTGTGGAGGAGTCCTTAAGAATGACTGAGTCCCACTCTCCGTCTTATGGCTAGGGAAACTGAGGCCCAGGAGGGCGCAGTGACTAGCCTGAGGTCTCCAGAGCCTCTGGCTCAGGAGGAATTAGAACCAAGGTCTCCTGCTACCAATTCAGCTTCACAATGCAGACTTCTGCAAATGGAGGTGTGACACCCAGGGCTCTCCTGAGGCGGTGTCTTACCTGGTTCCTGCACCTCTGCCCCCCTTGGATGCTGCAAGCTCAGAGGCTAGGATTAAAGGAAGCTTGCGTTCTACACCGGATGACCTGGGGAGAGCCAGCAGGCGGAAGGAGCCGGGGTCCTCCCTGCCCCTGCCAGAGGCTGCTTGGGGTGCAGGATGCTCCGGCAGTGGGGAGAGGCTGCCAGAGCCCCGCTGGCTCAGGTGGATGAGAGCTTCCTGCCTGCTCTACCCCCCCATCTCCCTCTCCTCGCACAGGGAGCAAGGTGTTGTCTGGTGCAGTAATTATAGGGTGCAGAGCGGGGGGGCCCCACTACCTGCATGTTGGGTTCAATGACAGCCCCTCACTTAGCAGCAATTACCAGTCAAGCCTGGAGGAGGGCTCCCTCTCCTCCTCCCCCACCCAGCCTGCCCAATCGCCTGGCCTCCAGGGCCAGACAGAGTCACCCCCAGCTTTGAGCCCTGGAAGCACCCATGCTGTCTGCAGCCATTGCGTCTCAGGGCTGCAGTGTCGCCATGGCAACTCAGTGCTTGCACAGGTTGAAGGAAGCTGAGGATGTGACTTGTCTCTCCAAGGCTGTGGCATCTGTCCCCACGAAGCCTCCAGCTCCAGGGCTTCTGCTGAGGAGGGGGGCAGGGAGGAGGTGCTGACCTCCAGGTTTGAGTTTTAAGTGCTTACATGCCCACCGCCTCTCCCAGGGGCCTCCAGTGGAAGGAAGGTTAATGCCCCCAGTATATGAGCATGTCTGCAGTCGGGGGGCGTGGTGGGGGTGAGAACAAGCTGGGGTTTGCCCGTGGGAGAAAGTTGAGACATCACGCTGGACCTAGAATACCTTCATCCTAATTCTGGTACCTCCTCTGTCAGGAGGGCTCAGGGGACCACCTCCATCTGTTTCTGCTCCGTTCTGCTGAGAAAAACCTCAGCATTCCAGTGGCTTGAGAGCAGTTACGTGACACCAAGAGAATTGCCTTCGTGGTACCGGCCACAGCCCGCTGCATCAGGCACTAGTGACGGACCGAGTGGGATCCCCACCTTGCTGTCCAGAGAGCCCAGATCATCCATTTGGGTCGACAGCATTCAGTGAGCGCTGTCTGTGTGCCAGACACCACCGGCCCTGGGATAGAGACATTTGTCCTTGGAGAGACGGCAAATGGGGCCATCATTCCTTCCAGCCCAGGGAAGCGTTGAGGCGCAGGGGACGAAGGAAATGGGGAGGAGAACAGAGTGGACGTTCACTGGGCACCTCCTGGGCCTCTCACATCGGTTATGTAATCGCTAACAACCCAGTGCCGTAGGAATTGCTTGTACCTATTTCATAGCTGTGGAAACGAAGCTTGTAGACGTTAAGCACAATAGTGCCTAAGAACACAGCCTCAGCACTCCACTGGACCTGGGTTCACATCTCCCCTTGGCCCGGAGGTGAGCTGTGCGTCTTGGGCATGTCGCTGACCCGCCTGAACCTGTGTCCTTTTTTATAAAGATGGAATGACTATATATATATCTCCTAACGAAGCCGTTGAGAAGGTGAAGTGGAATCGTGTCTATAAAGCAGTTAGCACATACCGGGCACATAGTAATAACCATTCAGCAAATGTCAGCCAGCAATGGGGAGGTGAGGTAACTTGCCTGGGAGACAAAGCAAGTGAGAGGAGCAAGCATTGGGGTCCTGGCCTTTTGAGGTCACCGTCCCTGCTGCAATGCCTGGGACGGTGGACACTTCATACATATTTGTTTCATGAAGGAGTTTCCAATAGTGGAAACTAAAGTGAGGGTTTTTCTGGGTTCTGGGGACCAGTCTAACTTCTAAATGATTTGCTCTACAAGAAAAGTCTGTCCCTCACCACCACCCATCCCTGCCACCTCCAGCCTCCCAGCCATCCCCTTGAGCCTCCACCCTAACCACACAGCACCGACATCAGCCAGGCCCCTTTGACCTTGCTCTGTAGTAACCAGTTAGCTTGACCTCTGTTCCCATGGTTAGGTACCCAGAAGCGGGCCCACAGCCCTGGTCCTGCTGGCATCCTGCCAAAGGGTTCATCTTTTTCTCCTGGATGTCTGATGAGAACTCTCCTGCTGGGACAACAGAGGGACAGAACAGAGAAGCAGGAGCAAATGCATTCAAATGCATTCAGTAAATGTTTCTGAAGCATCTACAACATGCCCTGCCCAGTGAGAGCTGCTGGAGGTACAGTAGGCCTGAAGACGCTGTTGCTGTCCTCAAGGAACTTCTGCAGGGCTTTTAAGTCTAATGGGTCCCCTGGGAAACATACTCAGAGGTAAAGATTAAAGTGTAAGATGTTTAGAATATGGTCTTGGGAAAAACACCTGTGGAAGGGAGGCAAAGGAGGCAGGTCTCAGCAGAGGGAGAAGTCGAGCTTCGAGGCAATTCCGACAAAGGCCTCAGTCAACCCCGTGGGGAACTTTGGAGCTGGGATGACCCTTCAGAGTTGTCCCAAGTTGGGGTGAGAAATTCAGGCCTTTGCACTTCCACATTGATCTGTCTTGGAATTGGGCCTACCCTGGAAGGAGGCATGTTTTCTTCCAATCAAGACAATCTCCAAAGAGGGCTGACAGCTGAGGGCTGCCTTCCAGCCACGCTGGGGTAGTAAGTCTTTCATACCCAATGGGGCGATCTGAACAGCCCATCACAGCATCCAGCACACATAGGGTCCACAGTCTGGCTTCAGCGACGACCAGGGATCCCTGAAGAGGGAAGCAGCATCTGGCACATCTGGCACTTGCAAAAATACATCATTTTACTGGGGGAGGGTTCCTTGACCCCCAAAAGATTAAGAACCACTAGTCTAGGGAAAGCCAGACTTGTCCAAAACTTCAAAGCATGATCAGAGATGCACACTGTTGGTGCTCAGTGAATATGAGTGGGTGGATGGATGGGTGGATGGATGGTTGCCACGTAGAAGAATGCATGGGAGGCAGAGAGAAGGGAGCAACCAGTTCTGCCTGGGGCAAAGATTCCCAGGGGCAGCTGACCCGTTTGAAGTGAGACTTGAAGACTGAATAGGACTGGCCAGACAGACAAAAGGAGATAGGCATACCAGACAGGGGCAAGAGCAGACGCAAAGACCCAGGTATGAGCGAACATGGGGATGGTGTGTTTCAGCACCGTAGGGATTAGTTCACCGTGGCTGGCCACAGGTGCACTTGGGTAAGAGGAGGGGTAGTGGACGTTTTCGCCTTTGAAAAGCCCACAGGTTCCAAGGAGGTATCCTGATGGGAATCGCTTCTTGAACAAGCAGGTATCTCCCCTCCCCCCACTAACACTTAACAATTGCCCCAGTCTCCAGGTGGGGGGAGGGGGAGGTCCTAAAGATAATCCCACACAAGTGAAAAGCATCTGGTTATCTACCACCTCCTTTCCCATCCTTCTTTGCTCCTGCAGTCCACTCCTGAGAGGTCAGTGTTGCCAGCCGCCCCACTTTCCAGAGGAGAAATGGGCTCCAGAGGCCAGGTGACTTGCCCAAGGTCACTCACCCCCCTGGCTCCCAAGCGCAGCCAGGAGCCCTCTCTGCAGACTCACGCCTCCCAGTGCCCTGTTTTCCACTTCTCTGCTCTGCAGCCCTCCGGTTGGAATGCGCACAGTCTCACCTGCCTCCTGGGATTCAGCCCCTCTGGTTAGTGGGGGCAGGGGACCAAGGGTCTGGCGGGGGATGGCGGGGTGGAGGGGGGTGCAGCATCCCCCTGGCCGTGTTTTGCTCTGGGAGGAATCCCCACTGAGCCAGAACCTCCATCCCGTTCTAGGGCTACCCCATGAATCAACATGCCCCCGTGGTTAACTCAGTAATGCTTTTATTAATAGTTAATTATTCAGTGCACACTGGGGAAATGAGCCTCACTCAGGCCTTGTAAATTAAGGCAGTGATCTCGTGAAAGAAGCCAGCGGGAGTTCGTTACCCAATCCTGTCGCTGCATCTCCTGGCTCTCAATTTAGCAATGCTAAATAATGGGGGGGCTGGGGGGGCGAGTAGGGGACAGAGACCTTCTCCGGTGGAGGTGAGAAGGGGCAGATGAACATCCTCTGGTTTCCTCCGAGAGAAAGGGCTCAAGGAGGGTGTGGCGAAGGATCAGCTGGGAGATGTGATCCCGCACCGTGGCAGTTGTCATCGGCCTGCGTTCCTTGTCACTGCTGGGGACTCAGCGCGGCCCCCAGGGACTCGTGTCCAGGGCAGGGCCACCTGTCGCAGGTGTGGGACTCCCAGGCGGAGAGGAACCCGTCTCAGACACTCCCGTCTCTGAGCCGCAGGCCTCCCTCCCCCACGCAGCCTTTCTCATTTCACCAGTGTCAGGCTTCCTGGGCGAGGTTTTTGTTGTGGCTGAAGCCAATTTCCCGTCCTGAATTTGCAGCTGAGCTGCATAAGGGGCTTGTTCTAACCTGGTTTGGCTTTTCTAAATTTAACTTTCTCCGATGTTTTGTTTCCCTGGCGACAGAAACCCCTCTTTATCTTCCTGGGAAATGAAAGCCAGCACCTGCTTTGAACCTACTGTGTGCCAGGGCCTGTCCCCCCGGTTTATGTTGACTCATTCTAACGTTCAGCTCTGTCTTTGGGACAGTGACTCCACCTCCCTGGGTCTCCATTTCTTCATGTGAAAATGGAGATATAATACTCCCTATGTCTGGAGTGATTGTGATGGTTAAATGAAGTAATAGATGTAAAGTACTTAGAACCCTGCTGAACACATAGTAAGTTCTCTCTAGGGGTCGCTGCTATTACTGTCTTCTTCACAACTGCGCTGCCATTATACAGATGAGAAAAGTGAGGTTTTCAATCCACGCTTTGGCTTGTTCAAGGACTCTTGACCCAGAACTTCACGTTGCCAAAGCTCATCACTTGCCTTCCATGGAGGCAAAATGGGGAGCCGATCTCTTCTCCAGAAAAGCACATTGGCCAAGTCCCAGGAGCCAGGAAGGATGTGCCCTTCTGTCCCTGCATGCAATACAGAGCCTCACCAAGGCAGTCTGGGCTGAGACAGTGGAGCACTGGGTCCAAACCCTGCCATACCTGCTAGCTGTCACGTCGGCCCCTGCAGCCTCAGTTTCCACTTCGGGCAAAATGGGCTCCTGGCAGCACCTACCTCCTTGCATGGTCGTAAGGATTTCTGTTTGAAAGTGCCTGACACCTCGTAGCCTTCTTTGAGAACTCTCTGCACCTGGGATAACAAAAAACCTCCCCCGCCCCAGGTTGTTGGAGGAACCCTGGAGACGATGGGCGTCCATCTGCCGTCAAGCAGGAAGATATGAAACAGGTGAGCTTCTGGTGCTCCGCCAAGGCCACTCAAAGGCAGGGATTTTTCAGAGAGCCTCTGGGGATGAAACACTGCCCCCGTGGATGTGATGGTCTCTGGCCTGACGGGGGTTTTCCTGGGACAGGTGATGCAGAGGGTTGGGGACAGATGGCCTTTCCAAAACCCATGCCAGTTGTGAACTGCCTTGCAGGTGAAGGTCGGCTTCTCTGCTGTGACCTCCCCCTCCCCCAAACTGCTAGAGCCACACATGGGCAAAAAGTCTGGGGTGGGGATTGAGGAGTACGGCTCCAGGTTCATCTATAATATGTTGCATCAGATTTAAATGTCACTGCTGCAGGCGGCTGACCCGGGTTCCCACACAATGGGCCACGAGGGGCGCCTTCGCCACCTCTTCATCTTCCTGGTGGTAGCTGACCAAAGGGAGGGAGATTTGGTTTCTTAAAAAACTAAACACTTGTTGAGCACTCTGGCGTTGCCTGGGCAACAGCCGAGGGGGGAGAGAGAAGCGTCTTATTGTTGAAAGTTATTCTTGCTCTATGTCAGAGGGTTGCTCTGAAAAGACCCGAGTTCTCCAAGCGTCCAGACTGGTCTCTCTCTCAATCTCTCCCCTGGCCCGGCTGGCCGTGCAATCCCAGCTCTTGTCCTCCCTCAGCCCCCAGACCCACTTCCAGGTCCGGGGCTGTGGGAGGGGTCCTGGCCACGCTGGACATCAGGATCCTGGAGGCAAGTTCCCTCCATACTCTGTGCGTTCACCCCCAGGCCCAGGGGGCTCGTGGAATAAATGCCCAAGCAACAGGCCGGCAAGGAGAATCCCTGCTGCCCCACCATGGGCTGCCTTTCCGGCACCCGACCTGGGATATGGACACAAGTGTGGCTCCGTGACTTAGGGGTCAGCTCACAGAAGTGCCCAAACTTGATCGGGGTGGGGGTGGGGAGAGTCCTGGCCATATAATCCAGAGGTGGGCATCTTGGTCCTCAAGCCCAACCAGGGGCGAGACAAAGGTGACCTTGTGCCAGGTCATTGCTGGGGGGCCATGGCTGAGTGCAGCCGCCGGGATCCTTGGAGACAGTGTAAGTGGCACCCCGTGCCCCTCTACCCCTCTCGCGACACTGTTTCAGAATTGTTTACTCGCCTCTCTTCCCCACGAGACTGTCAGCTCCCTGACAGCAGAGACGCATCTATTCATCTCTGTGTATTCTTGTAAGCTGCCGCAAATCCTTTCAGGAGCAAGGCAAATTCTGAAAATCCAGATGAGATGTACATATATTTTTAATTAGAACATGTTTACATAGTGAATACATACACATGATGCAAAATTCAAAGTTTAAAAGGAATGAATACCCATGTCTCCTGCTGCGCAGTCTCCTTGTATGGGGACAGCCATGGTTTCCAGCTTCCGATGTATCCTTCCAGAGATATTCCACTCATATAGAAGCAGATGAGCATCAAATAAAATATATTAGTCACATCTCTAGCTCCTGTGTCTAGCACAGGGCCCAGTATATGGTAGATGCTTGATAAAAGTTTGTCTGAGAGATGAACACACAAACAGGTGATGCATGGATGGTTGGGTGGGTAGATGGATGGTTGGGTGGATGGATGGGTGCCGCTCTTGTACTGTTAGTTCCCTTTTCACCCAGATGTCTGGGTTCCCCAACAGGGATTTCCTTGAGAGAAGGATGGAGGCCCAGCATCAGACACGTTCGGTCTGAGGGGTCCGTGTTCTTCAAATGGAGACATTTAATAGGCAGTTGGACTGTGCTTGTATCAGGGAGGAGTCTTGTTCGACTGCTAGTAACAGGGATCCAACTACAATGGTTTGAGTCCATAAAGGTTTTCTTTTCCTCGTGATGAGAAGTTTATAGGGGTTCAGCCCTCAAGGATACCAGAGTTGAGGTCACTGTGATGTCCTTGACCTTTCTCTCGTGGTCTCAAAACTGTTAGGGGAGGGGGCTCCAACCATCATATCCAAGTTACAGGGAGGAAGAAGAGGGGCAAAAGGATGCTTCCACCGCCTATAGGAAGCCTGTTCCTGGAGGCCCCACCAAATGACTTCTAATCATATGTCCACGGCAACCCTTAGCAGCAAAGGAGGCTGGGATGTGTGGCCTTTAAGATGGGCATGTTACTCCCCCAGATAATATTGGGGATCTATTAGCAAGGAAGAAGAGGGAGCTGGATAGAGTAGGCGACTCACAGCCCCTGCCACCCCTGCCCAGGGTGGAGACTCTGGGCCCCGGGAATGGACACAGCAGGAAGGCGCATCCCAGAAAAGAGCATAAACTAAAGCACAGAGGCATGAAAGCTCATGGCACATTCGACCTACATCCTGTGGACTCTCGCCTCCAATATCTCCGAATAGTCCCACTTCTCCTGCCCCTGGTCCTGGCCACCGTCATCACCTGGGGGACTGCAGCAGCCTGGCCCCTGGTCTCCCCACTCCCTCTCTGACCCCATGCTCAGCGCTCCGTTGCCTGCCCAGCATCCACAGTGACCCCTGCGTCCATAAATCAGAATGCATGGCTCCCTGCTTAACTCCCAGCAGCAGCCTGACTTGGAATGAAACCCCAGGTCCTCGCCCAGGCCCTCACAGCCTTCCTTGACATGGCCCCTGCGCTCCCCGTCCTCTCCCACCATCAGTCACTTTGCTCCATCCGCACCCCCTCCCACTGCAGAGCCCTTCTCTTGCCCCCGAGGCCCGGAGTGAATTTCACTCTGAACCTTCCCGTGGCAGCTTCTCTGCCTCCTTCAGGTTGCCACTCATATATCACTACCCCAGAGACCGTCCCCCCAGCCCCACCCCTCTTCTACCTACCCCCCTCTCCTCGCCATCGCTCTCTACTCCAGGACTTAACCCATTTGGGGCCACGGACCCCTGGGCCTCTGGAGAAGCCTATGGACCCCTTCCCAGAATAATGTTTTTAAATACATAGAAGATATGTAGAATTACAAAGGAAGCCGATTATATTGAAATGCTGTTTTCAAAATATTTACAAAACAAATGTGTGATACAGCACTATAGGTGCATCTGTATTAACGCATTAGATAACAAGATCTAGCAGCACCTCCATTAACTCCCACGAATTTGAGGCAGTGATGAGTGTCAATGATATTTTGAAACGTCTGCAACCACTGTAACGTAATAGGAAAGATCTGATTTCTGCTGGTGACAGTCACAGGCATTGCCAATACTACAGTGTGTTGCCAACACTTTCAATTGAGGAGAAATGCTATATTTCAGTGAATTTAGTGAAATAAAAATGTAAATTTTCGCCCTTTGATTTCACTGACCCCCCCTGTATTCTGTCTGTAGCTCCCTCGGAGGAGTCTGGTTGGTTTTGGTTTTGGTTTTCTTGAAAGCCCCTTTCTCTGCCTGACATTACACATTTATCTGTTAACTTGCTTACTGTCAGTTCCGCCCAGGAGGGCAGGGATTTTATCTCTTCTGTTCTCTGCTGTATCTTCAGAACCTAGAACACTGCCAGGCACGTAAGTAATCAATAAGTATATATTTTTAAATAAATGAACAAGCAAGGGATGAGGCTGGAGAGACAGGGAGGCTGGAGGCAGATCTGGGGGGCCTTGAATGCCACGCTCTGGAGCATGGCTGTGACCGGCAGTGATGGACTCACCCTGGGAGGGAAGCTGGGCCTTGGAGAGATCACTGTCCCATGGCAGCTGGGCTGACAGTTGGGATGACTGGGGAGGTGAGAGATGGCCGAGGCCGCCTTCCAGAGGCAGCTTTCTGAGGGAGGCTTGGGCATCAACCACTTAGCATCATTCGTGAATGTCGGCAGCCACTTCACCCCCTGCCTTCCTGCCTCCTCCTGCTGTCCCCCCACCCCCACCCCGGATGTTAAACAGGAACCCTGGAGAAGCCATGGTTTCTCAGTATTTCCCGGGCAATAAAGATGTGCTAGACAACGGGACAGGGCCCACGGGGCTGAGGAGGCAGGCACGGGGGTGGGCGGGTGAGAAGAGGTCCCAAGGCAGCCACTGCGGGGCGGGGGTCCTGGTGTGTCAGACTCTGGGGTCAAGCTGTTGAAGGGTCACCCCTCCCAGACCGTGGCTGGCTATTCAGAACCAGGGATTTTACAGCAACCTGAAAATCCAGGGAAAGACCAAACTTCTGGAATCAGCTGGCCTTCGGCCACTTGTTCCTTAATTGCACACAGTTGAACAGGTCACATATATGCCCCACACCTCCCTCTCCACATCTCGGAATGGGGTGGGGTGAGGATTCAATGGGGAAAGTGATGGATCTAAAGCAGCCAGCTCAATGCCAGGTGCACAACGGTTGCCTTTGTCACTGTTAACCCCTCTACTGCTAGTGTTCCTTAACAATCCACTTTATCACCCTGCCCATAAAGGGAGGGGGAGGATGGCGGAAGGTTACCAGAGGAAACAAGTCAGTAGTGGAGAGAAAAGGCAAGTTCTGGAGTCAAACAGATCTGGGTTCAAATCCAGCTGTGTGACTTTGGGTAAGGCGCGTCACCTCTCTGAACCTCAGTTTTCTCATTCAGAAAACAAGGATGGTACCTTCCTCTCATGGTGCGGTGAGGATTACTGGACGCGGATGCTGTATGGAGGTAAGCGCTCAATCAGCAGGGCCGCGGAATACGTGATCACAGCCCCAGCCCTGTGCCGGGTGAGGATGAGACAGACAATGGTAATAGTCCCCTGCTTTTTTTGTCAAGAGGTCTACACTTTCGAACGCACTCTTTCCCATCCATCATTTCATTGGAGCCTCGCTTCAGCACCTCAGGATGAACAGGACTGAGAGTTTGATCCACATTTGACAAACGGGGACACAAGAGCTCAAGCGGCGTTGGTCTCAGGGAAGCAATCTGCTCAAATGTCACACAGCCGGTGAGATTCCGGGATGGACACGAAGCCAGGCATCTCAACTCCCGTCTCTTTTCAGATCAGCCGCTTAGGTATTCATCCACTCAACAGACAGTCCCTGAGCTAAGCTGCAGCAATAAGGCGGTAAATGGGCAGACACGACTTCCGCCCTCGAGGAACTTGGAGCCTGGTGGCTCAGGACACAGAGACCTTTTCCGAGGCTGCACCAATCACAGGGAAGACCCAGTTCTGCTCAGAGACGCAGATCGGGATGCACCCTGGGTTCAGAGTCATGGCTTTGTGTGCCCACCTTGGGCAGTGAGCAGGCCAGGAATAGAAGACTTCTCTGCCCTCAGGGATGAAATCCACTCGTTAATCAGCCCAGATACTGGGAATTCCCTGGTGGTCCTGCTTCCAGGGCAGGTTCGATCCTTGGTCGGGGAACTAAGCTCCTGCAAGCTGTGCAGCACGGCCAAAAATAAATACATAAATAAAAGTCCAGAGATTTGCACCAGGATCCCAGCCTGAACAAGAGTCCTAAAATAAAGGTTTCCATAGCCAGATGCGTTCAGAAAAGCTACACATCTCCCACCCTCTCTGAGAGTCACACTGCTTTGGCACACCCTGGAAAGTCCTGCAGAAAAGAACCCTGTTTAACACGATGCTTCCCAAACGTGCTTAACCACGTGAACAGTTTTTTTTTTCAAGCCACGCCTACTAACTTGGGAATTAGGAACAGGGCAGCGGAAAGAGCACAGTGTCTAGAGCCAGTTACTTGGGTTTGAAGCCAAGCCTTAGATGCGATTAGCACTTGGTAAGCTGTGGAAACATTATAACCCAGGAGAGGGGACGTGACTTGCCCAAGGTCACTCAGCGTCAGACCTACAATCCAGGTCTCCACGCATATGAGAGGCGTCCTTAGGGCATGTGCCACTTTGCTTCCCCTCTGACAGGGGCGGCCCTGACAGCCTGCTGGGTGGGTGTTATTTAGGTCTACTTGTCCATGCAGTGCCTTTGTACAGATTACAGAAAGGTGCCTCCTTCTCCTGGATCCACAGAATTCCACATGAGGGCACATGGATGGATAAAGCATTGCATGGACTGAATTTTAGCCGCAACTTGCTTCCTTAGCCAACTATCCTTGTGTAGGTTACAACCTGTGCAACTGTACATGGCAACGCTTACTAGCCTCTTTCTCCTCATTCCTCTTCATTCCTTCCACCCTGGTCCCCTTCGTGGGAACTGCACCCTCCCCTTAGGGTGCTGGGTTGAGGCTGGGTGGGAAAGCCCAGTTGTTGGGCTACACTTCCCAAGCTCCAAAGTAGCGTCGGCCAAAGATGCTGACTCAGCAAACTTTAATTTATTGCACAGGCCAGGGGTGCGCGTGAAGCAATTAGTGAAATAATGGTTACGTCGCACTAAAAATTATTTATAGAGTCACTGTGCACACAGCTGTGATTAAATTAGACAACCAAGGGGACTTTAACTGCCAACGGAGCCGGCATCCAAGGCCTCGGGCTCCAGCTGGCTGGGGATGGGGTGGGGTCACTTCTCCTGTCCAGTCACCCCCTGCCGGGCAGGTGAGCCAACCGTGACCCAGGCAGGGATGAGGAGGGTCTTCATGGGCAGGGGTGTGGAGAGCCATCTCCGTCCCGGATGTCCTGAGCTGCCAGGACATTTGAACATAAACAAGTCAGGGGCTTTCACATACCTGAGCCTTAGCAGTCCCTGAAACTCTTTCAAAGAGAGTCTTCTGTGGACCCCCAATGACTGAAAGGAAGGTGGTCTGGGTGAATTAGAAAAGATGGGCCTGGAGACCTATGGGCTTGACATTGACCCCAACTGTGGGCCCTGAGAGCACAGAGCCAAGCTGGAAACCAGAGATCAATCCAGCCCTCTCTTTTCAAAGGTGGCAAATGTGAGCGCCAGAGATTTCATCTCCCGTGTTCTCCCCACAGTGTCAGAGACCTTTGTTCCAGCCCTGGGTCCTGGGTAAGCCTTTACCCCAATCCACGTACCCCGTGAGAGTTAGTGTTGGACACAGAGCTTCTACAGGAGGGAACAGATATTTTGAGCACCTATGGCATACCGGACACTGTCTGTATTTATATTTATTGCTGATTCATGTTTATCTTTATATTCTTATTTAGCTCCTTGCAACATTCCTGTCAAGTAAGCAATCTTGTCCCTCTTTACAGATGCAGAATCTGAGGTTCAGAGAGGTAAGGATATTTGCCCACAGCCACAGAGCAAGAGAAGGGCAGAGCCATTTTCTTAAGGTCCATCAAACTCCAATGATGGAGCATTGTGGAGCTTTGAGTATTTTGCGGGGTGTCTCCTGGGTGCGGGGTGTGATGCTGAAAAGTCATAACAGGGTTTCCTTTACACTGGACACAAGACATGCATCATCTTGTTTCATCAGCAGCCCCTTGCGTGCACATGGGGAAACTGAGTCACAGAGCACTCCATAAAGGGCCCCCAGACGCCAAGACTGTGAGCACTGGGGTTTGTGCTCATCAACAGCCCTCCACCTCTTGCTGAGATGCAGTCGGTACACCGTGTAGGAGCCACAGACCTTTGCCCAAAGGCTGGAGCTACCTGTGCAATTCCAGGATTCTCTCAGGGGCTGAGGGTGCGGGTAGCCTAAGGGGTGGCAGCCAGGGCCAGGAGTGCGGGTTGCAGTCAGGAGACCCTGAATCCCAGTCTGACACCAACCCAAGCCCCACATCCCTGCGGCTTCTTTCCCTCTCCATCTGAGCTAAAGATGGATGCGGAGCATTTCACAAGAGCTCTGGCCACAGTCATCTTTTAGCAGCCCGTGTCCTTTCTGAAACTCACTGGTCCTCCCTCCAAATAAGCCGCTGGAGGTGCAGATCAGTGGGGTTACGGAGCAGGGCCCGGAGGCTCAAGTCTCCCTCCCACTCCTCCTCCCTTCCAGGGCCTCCCCAGCCCCTCCCCACTCCTCTCTCCCTCACAGTTCCCTGGAAAGCAGGACCAGCTCGCTCTCCAGATGTCTCCTGCCCAGGGGCACACGCTCACGGATCTGCAGGAACCCCACGCCTGGGACCCCAAAGGAGGAGGGCTACGTGGAGTGAGGACGGAGAATTGAGAGAGGAGCTGGATGACCCTGGTGCTCCCAAGCTTCGGGCAGGTCCCCCTACAGGGAGGAACCTCTGACAGCATAGGACACATTGTCCTAGGGAGCCAGCGCGGCTCCTCGTCCAAGTCAGGGCTGGCCTCTGGATTCGCCTGGCTGCGCACGGTGTCCGGTCCCCTCTCCCGGGCCTGTCCTGAGGCCGGAGGCTGCTGTCTCCTCCGGCCACTTAGCATGCAGGCCGGCTTGTGCAGGCTGCAGCGACCAAATGAGATTAGCTTGCCAGCTGAAGCAAGTCCCCACTTGCGCCACCCACGGCCCTGCGCGACCCCCAGCTGTTCTGCTGAGCCTCCCACGGCCTGGTGGGCCCAGCCTGGCCTCTGGCACCTCGCCCCCCACCCCACCCCATGCCCCATGGAATTCGGGCCAGCCAGGGGCAGGTCTAAGAGGATGAAGGATCCTGCCCAACTTTATAGCCCTGCTTCCTCTCTCTCAATAGCCCTTCTGGAGTCAGCTGGGGGAGGGGGGCAGGCAGAGGGAGACAAACAGGATTAAGGATGCTTCCTTGCTTTGCATCCCTTGCCAATTCTCCATCAGACCTCCTGGGGGGAGTGGATAGGAGATCCCAGCCACATCTCCTCCCATTAAAGCCCCGAGTGCGGGTGGGAGCGGCCGGGAGTGGGGATCGAGCAGAGGAGGGGTCCAGTCCAGCTGCACTCCCTCTACCTCTGCTCCCCTGGGCCACTGGGAATCAAGCATGAAAGTCTGGCCCAGCCCTGGGCCTCCCTGACCGTTCTCCTGGCCAGGGAAGGAAGAAGGACCCAGCTCAGCCACTCAGCCCTAGTCTAGCTGGAGTCCCTGCCCCCTGGGCCCCAGGAAGCTTCCAGGGGTCTGTGAAGGAAACTGGGGGAAGCCTGGGTTCCCAACCAGGCCCCCTGGGAGAGGTGAGAGATGCCTTTGATGTCAGGACTTGATGTCAGGGTGATGTCAGGGTGGAGGTGTCTCTTGAAGGGTTGAGGGTGTGGCAGGGGTGGCTCCGCCCAGGGCTCCTGCTCTGCCTCCGACCATGCCCCGGGCTCACCTGGCTGTCTGCAGCCATCCTCCTCCCTCTTCCCATCTCTCCCTGTTCTCCATCTCACAGGCTACTTGCCCAGCCAGGAGTAACCCACTCCTGGGTCCGCTCCTGAGTCCACTCCGCTCCTGAGTCCACTCCGGTGGTCCTGAGCTACCCTGGGGCTTCCTGCCTGGCTGGGGGCCCATTGCGCTGCTCCCCTTAAGGTCTGAGACTGGCACCTGAGATTGCAGAGGATGGCAAGTCCCTACCGCCTCCCGCATCTACCTAGCCGGCCCAGGTGGATCCAGATGAGCTGAAGGGGGCCCAAGGTGAGGGAGGGGCTCCTCTTCTCCCTGGAGAGAAGAGGGAAGTGTTCCCAGCACACACCTCTCCCCCGCCCACCCCGACTCCCTGCCCCTCCCCCTCCCTCTCATTTCCCAACTTTTCCCACCCCCTCAGCAGATCGGGCAGCCAGCTCACACCCTGCACACTTCAACTTGCACTTATTTCTACCCATCTCACTGTGCAAATCATCAAACCTCTCCGAGCCTCAGTCTCCCCATCTGCAGAATGGGGGTGACCCCTACTATCTCAAGGGCTGCTGTGGGGCCCAAGTTAGATCACAACTGCGCACACCCATGTGAATCATGGAGGCATCTGAGGGATTTTTCATCCTAGGTGACTGGAAATCCCCGTGCCTTCTGGGTTTGCTCCTTTTGCCCACAAAAGTCTCTCTAGGCCCTTGCCCCAGCCATGCAGATGCTCCTCAGCCTGGTTCAGTGAGCACGGCCCCTCTGTGTTGGGGAACAGGGGTCCTTTCCAGCCTCTGGTCCTGGGCAGAGGGAGCCGGGAGCCTCGGGATGCAGCGATGCAGAGGCAGGAGGGTGTGGATTAGAAACCCATCACAGAAATGACTTTCTTATCACGCCACGACCTGAATTGACAGGACCAACTCTGGAAATGAAATTGCCTCCCCCCTCCCCTGCCGCCCATCCCCGCCCCTTCCCTGGGCTCCTGGTTCTTTCCACACTCCAGCCCGCACCTCTGGAGGCCCTGCCGGTAAAGACCCAGAGACAGAGATATGAGAGAGAAGCAAAGGTAGAGGGGAAAGTGGGGTGGGCAGGGACCCCACGCCCCTGGGGGGCCACGCGCCAGAGGTTGAAACAAGGAAGAGATGGGAGAAGAGAGGGTAGCGTGGGACGTCAGCACAGAGGAGGGTGCGCCCCTCCCTTCTCCCTTCTCCACCTGCCCCTGCACCCAGCTGGAGGGCTGGGGCCCTCTCCTTCCTGCTGGCCCGGGGCAGGGCTCTGGTGACCGGGGCAGAACCCTGGGCTGGAGCCCATGGGTGCTTGGAAGCAGCCCCAGTGAGTTCCTGGCAGAGCCCCGGCTGCAGGTGGTGGGGAACGGGCCGCGGGTGGCCAGGGGCAGTCAGCTGTGCTATCAGGTGGGCGCTCACCACAGCCAGCCCCAGGCACGAGGTAAGCAGGGTGGGGCCGAGCGGAGGGCGGGCCTGGCTCCAGGTGCTGCCTGGGCAGGGGGCTGGGACCCAGTATATAACCCTCTATAGCCCCCATGGTACCTACCAGCCCAGCCCCCAGGCCTGATGGCAAGCCAGAAGCTAAATGTTGCCGCCTCCCAGTTGAGCTGGTCTGGCTCCCCCTTC